GTCATAAGGGTATTTTGGTCATTTTGGTTTTCAGTTTTATTCCAATCATAACAGAGCTCGAGGATATCCCATCATTCATGAGCTTGGTGATATTCTTGGGTCATTTCCATTACAGGGGTATTTTGGTTATTTTACAGATCCACGATATTTCAATCTTTTTCCTCCATCCGGTCTTATTATTTAATTCCAATTTATCATCTATTCTAGTCCGTTCGAACAATTCTAATAAAAGAGCACCCTCCGATAAATTGTTCTTCAGGTATTTACTCATAACTCGGATATTTTCGGGTCAAGTTTCTTCTCGGATTTTACAAACGCAATATTATGAATTTTTTCTTTACAAAGACAAATATTAATAATTAAAATTTGTACTTAATCGAGTTAAGTACAAATCCTCAAAGTACTTTCTCCTTCAGGGTCAACTCTGACTATTTTACCTCTCAAGGGCATTTTCGTACTTTCTTAACCAGATAATTTCGATATTAACTCTTAACGAAAATAATATAATATAGAGATCCTATGATTAATTGCTTCCTCGAACATTCTTTGATCTTAAAATGATTCCTTAAAAGACTTCTAGTATCTAGCATAAACATTCCTGGGGTTAAACACCGGTTATCCATAATTTTCAAGTAAAACTAACATTTCTTATGCACATCAATAGTTTTAGCAGATCAATAATTCTTTTCAGATTTATTAATCCACTTCCAGAGATAATTCTTGTCATTTTCCAACATAAGGGTAATTTCGTAATTTTACCTAATCAAAATATTCTCATAATTTATCATCTAAGTACCTTTAATGAGATAAATTATAATCTACAATCCATGGTTGATTCTTTTATCACTTAATTCCAGAACTTGTAATTTAATTCCAACTGTCCTCCAATTTCTTATAATAGTCATCTGAGCCAAATTCAGTTATCTACTTTCTACCGTATTCGTATCTAGTGTAGATCTTCATTAATTACACATATGAGACCAAACATTTCCATTCATGCATTTATCAATACCAACATATTCTATAAAGCATAAAGAGGTAGTAAAGTATTATCTCGATTTTCGTGTAATACTGATCGACCATAAAAATTCCATTCGAACGCCTTTGATCTTCAATTCAACTTTCAATAATTCCTTAGATACATATCAACATAAATTATATCAAAAACGGAGCTTAATTACTATAAACGGATCGAATCAGGTGATAAATCATTGAAAAACAGCTTACCGGGTTTGAATTTGGTGAAACAGACTTCAGATTCGGATTCATGACGTCGAAAGCATAAAATATGACTTTTCGAAAATTTGGAATTTTCGGTCAAAATCAAAGTCAATGGGTATGACCGGCAATTTCGAGGTCTTCGGGTTCGAATTTCGAAAAACAGACAGCGGAATCGGATTTGGAACGTCGAAAAATGTCAGGATAGGTATACTCGGTCAAAGTCAAAGGTCGTTTAATGCCCGGTCAAAGCCAGTCAAAGTTTTGGTCAACAGTGGTCAACGCCGGTCAACGGTCAACGGGTCGGGTTGTGACCGTTCAAAACAGTTCCAAAACCGGTCAAACGGGTCACTTTTTCCTTCCCCACGCGTAGTGGCGGTGCGTGAACAGCTCTAAATTCTCTGCGTGTGGGGGCGCGTGAACAATGCTAAATTCTCGAAAAAAATCCTAAAAATTATTTTGAGCGATTTCGAGATACTTACAAAGCTCGGTTCAAATTTTTGAACGGCGGAGAGCTCGATTTCAACGAATCAGAAACTTTGACTGCTTCACCTCCTCACGCGCCGCCGTCGACGGAGACCAAGGATGACACCGGCAGACTCGGAATGGAACAAGGAACACAATGGTGCGGGAGGTGTTGTAAACGGATGACCCTATCGTCATCAATCGATGAAAACCCAACTAAAATCGAGTTATTACCGACGGTACTTCCGACTAAAATTAACGACGAACGGTGACGATTCACGACGAAAGGTTTGAGGGGTTTTGTTCTTCGGTTGACAACGAACACGATGGTGGTTTCGACTTGTCAATCGGAGGTCGGACGGCGAGTAGATCGGAGTTCAAAGAGGGGTTGATGAAGAGGAAAATCTGGAAAAATTTTTCAGAAAACATACCGGGGGAGAGATTTATAATTCTCTCCAAAATAAAATGGGTAAATAATGGGTTTAGCCACTGAATTTCCTATACTTCTTAAAACGGTCTGCCAACTTTGAAATCTTATAATTTAACCCACTGTTTCTTTCAAAATACCAATTAAATCCGCCACTTTATAATTTCTTAATATTTAGCCCCTAAATTGGGGTATTACAGAATACTCCTCTATATTTTATGATTTCACGTAACCACTCCCTCAAATATCACCAAACACTCTTCCTCTTCATTTTATCTTTCTTCTCTTCTTCTTTTTCTTCTTTCAAGTGAAGTAAAGATTAAAACTTCATGAAATTTAAACTTAGTTGAGTTTAGTGAAGGTAAAAAATGAAATCTTCATTCCAAGAGTTTCGTTTTAAACCCCATATTTCAAGTTTTAGTCATAGTCTCCAAAAGTGGATTTTAGGGAGGTTTAGTGAAAGAAGTGGGAGGGTGCTCAAAGGCAAAGAAAAAAGAGAAATTAATCCTTGGTTGATTTGGGAGGGATTTTAGCAGCCAAAGAGCTAAGGTAACACATTTACAACTTCTTCATAACATTTGTGGGTCATTAGAAAAGCATTTTAGTTTAATAATTGAGTTTGAAGCATGATGAGCATTTTCATGGTAGATTCTATTTTTTTTTTTTTAGAGTTTTAACATGTTTTAAAGCCTATTTATGACCCCTTGTGAGCATATAAAACATTAATAATGATTGAGAACCTCAAAATAGTAATGTGGATGACATTTTTTAGGGTGAGTATCAATATTGTAAGAACAATAACAATATCAATATTGTTCTTATGAGGCAAAAATCATGGTGATTTTTTAGGGGAGTATCGATACTAATCATAAGAGGATCGATACTCAGTGTTCGGTTTTGAGACTAGCCAAGTGGGTATCGAAATCATTTTTCCAGTATACAATTTTGGTATCGGTACTCTAGGGGAGTATCGATACCAAGGGTAGAGTATCTATACATCCTATAGGAGTATCAATAATACTCCTTTAGTTTCGATAGAAATCAGCAGTGGAGTAACGATACCCTTAAAGGAGTATCGATACTAAAGGGACAATATCGATATTGGGAGGCTAGTATCGATACCATAGTATTTTTGAGGGCATTATTTTAATAGATTTAAAGAAGGAATGAGGTTTTCCAAGAACCCGATGTTTACCCTCAAATAAGACTACAAGTGAGAACAAACTAATAATCAAATACAAATAAAAACGAGATCAATTAAGGTGACATAAAACTAACATTGTTTGAACACTCGGGAAATGATCAGGACACCCATGACACTTTAGTAAATGATACTAGTATCGAGAAATAGAATCGGTCCGGATATCCTTAGGTGGTGCGCGAGGCACTTTAAACTGATTAACTAGGGTCGAGACTCGACACTCGTGAGGGGTGGTTTAGTCGAGGGTGTTGTGTCCAATGTAGAGATTATGGGCCTCATCCTTGGTAGACTAAAGGGATGCGTGAGCTCCGAGATGCAGAACCCTCAGTCGCACCATGATGTCTACCCTAGAGTAGAGAGTGCAATATACGAGTATACTCACTATTGCGTTACACTTGATAGAGCATTTAATGAACACTTTTAGTATGGTTTAGTTGTTAGTGTGACATTGGGCTAGTGAGCTCAGCGTTTGGAATTTATTTACTTACGTAGGTTAGTAAGAAGAGCATTCGAGGAGCCTTTTGGAGCAGCCGAGATCCAATCCGAGTTTAAAGCAGAGTACATCTCGAGTTATTTCTTTAAAGTGTATGTATTATTTATAGACCCTGTTTGTATATTCGAGTTGTAACATTATTTTGAAAAGTCGGTTGTATATTTTGATATACTTGTACTTTTGGGAACTCCCCAATTTAAAATTTATTTTGTATATATATATATATATTTATGGTTGACTTAATTGATTTAAATGGTTTTTAAATCATTGCTTAAATGAGTAATTAAAAGAAAATTTTTGGGGTTAACCATTATGGTGGTTCCGTGTGACATTCTAATCGGTACACTATTTGTCGTACTGATCTAAGGTGTTACAATTTGGAACATAATGAATAGTTGGATGACCATTTTGTAACTTTTAATACTCGGAGGACTCAACAAATTATCACCCTATAGTCAAAGGACCATTTGTATATTTTACCCTTTATTTAAAGATTAGACAAAATTATAAGTCAAGAAAGAAAATATGCAATATTTATTTTATTTTTAGTTACACCTTTAACGTTGTCATGTGTTAAAAGATTGACCATCCTGGCTATTAAAAACGTTAATTAAAAAAAAACCTAAGGACAATTGAAAAAAGACAAACATTGAAAACAATTTTTGCCAGTATACCAAATATAAAAATCCGTCCCAATGTGAAATGAAATGCAATAATGAAGCAAATCCAACTGCAACAATATACAGTAAAGCCCTAATCATTCATTCTTATAAACTACAATAATGAAAGCAAATACAAGTGATACCATTTGAAGTATGAACATCATCTTTATTTTCAACAAGACTCGGAAAAACTCGCACACAAGATGGCCCATAGGAATCAAGTCAACCCCAGAAAGCCATTTAAACGCGAAAAAAAAGCCAATAATGAATATATAGCATGTTCAGTTTCAGCTCTTCATAACATAAGGTTTCTTCTGTACATAGAGTATCCTCAACAAATTAATCCGACAACATCCAAGGCTTGCTCTCCTTATCTTTCATACTTGTTCATTTCCCTTCAAAATATTGTATTTGCAGAGAGGGCATGTTGCATTCATCTTAAGCCATTTCACAATACACGCTGAATGAAAATGGTGGTTGCAAGGGAGAGCATGGAGGTCCACCCCGTCTTCGTATGAGCTTAGACATATACAACATTCCTGCCAAAAAAAAGGATGATTAGAATAGCGTAGCTGTCGTCTGAAAGGGGTCACATTGAGTAAAGCAGCCACCAGAAAGGTATCAGATCGAGTTGCAACTTACTGCATCCTCAGGTAAGAGTATGAGCTCATTTGCAAAGTAACCACTACTTATTTCTACGGGGATCATTTTCCCTGCTCCCTTCTCACTGTCGTTTATAATCTGAAATCTATATTTTGGAAGGATGCTAAGATCTGCTTCTGATGCACCTTCCTGATCAATATAAGCCCAAGATAAGAAAATGCTATTAAGTACCACTACCAAGTTGTTCTATAAAATTTTCAGTAAGCATAAAATGTGTTTTCGGCTACCTGCTCCGTAACAGCATAAAGAATTGCAATGATGCATGGCAAGCAGCAGCAGAGAGCAATCCCAATTAAACAGGCCAAAACAACGCAAAAGATTGCAAAAAATACATCAAATGCCAGAAAAACCACTGCCAACCTGCAAATGTCACAAATTAAAGATCCGTATACACCATAGTAAACATGCCACAAACCTACGTTACCAGGAATAAGGGTTAATGTCGGATACAGGTATGCATCCAACGCATATGCTCTTTTTCTATAAACAATTTACAGATATTTGAAAAATCATATCCCATATCCATGCCCGATTATTGCAAGACAAATCTGCTTTAGAGAAAATACAGTCTGGAGAACATAGCCACAAAAAATAGAAGACAGGAAAAGACGATATTCTTTTTCGGAGTGTAAAAGTACTGTATTACATTTTCTTCTTTTTTTTTTTGGCTTAACTAAAACATCAACTTTCTTTTTGCAGCCAATTGAGAATCAGGGAAAGAAATTCTAAAGGTAACAGAATTATTGCGTTTCAAGGAGAACACCATAGATATTATATAAGAATGAGATGATAACTGGTGTAGAATGTTTCAATAACTTGGCTACTATAGGTAAAAACTCTTGTATGTATTTCTCTTTACTGTTGAGGTACAAATCATATGTTATTAACAAATATGCAATCCTAACAGAAGATTAAGGAGCTTGCAAAACAACAGGTTGGCCAACAACGTACCAATACAATCGTGGAGCGTTTTGCAGAAGGATATCACCACCAGAAACTACCCAATAGAAGCCAACCATCCACCAAAGAAATGATGCCATGGTATTCAATGATTCACACCGTTTAGTGACACTGCCCATTATATCATCAAATCAGTACAAGAATAATAACTTGATCATTCCAAGATACTGCTTCCACAACAGAAAATAAATGTAAATCTAGATGGACAATACAAAGAATCCACTCAAATGATAGCTTGGCACAGTCTCATTGTTTTGGTGAATTAGGTTGATCAGTAATCAAAATAGAAAACTATTATACTAAAATATAATGCCAGTAGATAAGTTGTTGTTTACAAGATAAGACACAGCAATCTCCCAAGCTTCTCCATCGCGCATAAAGGCGGAAAAAGTGTTTATCGTTATGTTTGAGTTACTCTACCATCATCCAAAGCTCAATGCTAAGTCCATTTGATAGATATTGGCAGTTTGACATTCACTTTTTTCAATGCTATGCCCTGACTTTGGTTCTTGTATTTGAACCAGGGACTCATTCCAATTTCAAAAAACGATGCAGCCTAATTCGTTGCCCAGCAGCATTCCCAAAGTTTAAACTTTAAACTTTAAACATTGCACTCACCGTGAAAGTGAAGACTAAAATGATAATGATAATTTAACCAATTATATTCGCAAACCATAAAAAAAGTGCCAAAATTAGAATAATTGATAACACCAAAACAAAGCCTTTCAATTCCTTCAAAATTGAAAGGCAAGATGATACTCAAACCCTAATCTAATTCATCCAAAAAAAAAGCAATAAAATGCCAAATTGACCCCAAACCCTAATCCAGTCTAATAAAAAAATATATGTAATACTTTCATCAAAATTCCAAGGTCAGAACATAATACTTCATGCACTAGAACAAATTCGATCCTAAAAGAAATCCTGAATATTCATCCAAGTTCAACTAAGGAACAAGAAACCACTAAAAAAATTCCAAAATTAAACAAAGAAAAACCCCAATCAAGATTTGTAGCTTAAAAACACACAAAAAAGCAAAATTATACAAAAAGAAACTGACCTTGATTCATTTGATCCTAAAAGATTCCTTACAATACCGTCTTCATCATCTTCACTATCATTAACATTCCCAGAAACTGCATCTCCACTCTCCTCGTCCCTAGCAGATGTTCTACTACTGTTCCTTCGCCTGTACTCCAACCACACTAAAACAACATGAACCAAGCACTGCAAAGCATACCCACAGATCCAGACTCTAATAGGAGTATTAGGTCTCTCGTCCGCCGTACAGATCAGCATAACCACCGCCACCGCCACGAACGCTGTATTCCACAGCATGTCCAGTGCCACCACCGGCTTCGAGTACCCCCAATCGGCCCTCCGCTCCTCCAACTCACGTGCCGCCGTCTCCCTCACCAGCATGGAAGCGCCACGCCGTCCCGTGGCTCGACCCAATAGTTGGGCAAGCGTGACACGGCGGGGCGCCGGGCCATCGGATTGACGAGGACGGAGGAGCGACGCGTGAGGATCAGACGCCGCTATAGATGCTTCGGATGAAGATGTGAAAGACATGAGAAACCAAAAAAAAGAGGGCGGGGGGGAAGGAGGAAGCAATCTCCAGAAAAGTCAGAAATAGAAAATAAACATAATTGAGGAATATTAGCAGAAATAAAAAGGTATTTCGGTTTGGATTGAAGTGTTTTCAGTTTTTAACACTGTATTCAATGTTGTTCTGTTTTCTCTTAATTCCTTCTCGCGCTTTATTTTATTATTAGTGTGTTTTCACTCCACTTTTTACCCAATCGCAACTCTAACCAATAATATTTATCTATTTTATTTTTTAAGACAAATTTTTACCTCTTTCCTACAAGGAGTGGGTAATTAAATTGGTTAACATTTGATTAAATAGAGTAAAAAAAAATAGAGTTGACGAATCATATTTTATAAGTTGAATTTAATTTTAAATTTTTTTGAGTCGAGTTTAAAAAATTTGAGTTGAATTATTCGAGTTTCTATACTAATTTTGTTATAATTATTTATATTATTATGGCAAGGGTTTGTTTCAATTTTTTTTACTTTCTTTTAACCATATAAGATATATATATGTATATATTATATTCTTTTCATATTATAATGTTATTTAATATATCAAATATGATCTAAAATTATAAAATATATTCATAATATTATATTTTAAGGAAAATATTTTGAGGGTAAAATATTGATGAGATTATAAAGGAGTCAATGAATTGATGAGAATAAAGAATTTGCAAACAATTGCAGTCAAAATACCAAATTGAGTAAAATACAAAGTTAATGGACTAAATAAAAAAGAGTGCATTTTTATTAAAAAAAAGTAAGAATTGAAATTACATAAGTATTATGTTATGGTATATAAGGATGTTGTTCAAATTTGGTAAAAAAGAACTTAAAATAAAGGATGAATTTAAGAGATAAGAAAATTATGAAAAATTAAGGGACTAAATTGAAAAATAGAAAATTTGTTATCAAAAAAAGAAATGAAAGTACATATGTATTCTATGATGGTTTAGGAGCATGTGGTTCAAATTTGGTAAAAATAGACTTAAAATGAAGGAGAAATTGAAGGAATGATGAAACTAGAGACTAAATCGTAAAACTGTCAAAATACTTAATCAAATTTTTAGTTTTTTGAGTAACTCGAAATTTCACAACTTCAACTCGACTCAAATTCGAAAACCGAATTGATAATTTGAATTGAATCGAATAACTCGAAATTGAAAAAATGATTTTTCGAGCTGAGTCGAGTTTTGCTCACCCCTAAATAACTATAGAGTCATCTCTTTGGGGCCTGAGCAAAACTAAAAAATTGATCCTTATAAAATGAAACTATATTTTATTACTTTCAACGATTAATTTAATATTATATTAATAAATCGTAGAAAATGATTAAACTAAAGGCCTAAATTATAAAAGGTGGGATTAAAATAATTAGGGGTCTTAATTATAAAAAAATTGAGATTAAAAAGATTAGGAGCTTCAATTATAAAGGTAGAAAGTTAGATTGAAAAAAATTAGGGACCTAAATTATAAAAGTAAAAAAGCGAGATTGAAAAAATAGGGCCTTAATTATAATGGTTAAAAGTGAGATTAAATAAAGATAGAAAGTGAGATTGAAAAAATCACGAGCCTCAATTATAAAGGTAAAAAGCGAGATTAAAAAATCAAGGTTCTCAATTATAAATGTAAAAAGTGGAATTGAAAAAATTAAAGATCTCAATTGTAAAAATAAAAAAAATATGATTACAAAAATTAAGAATCTTCGTATTTTTCTTACATATAAAAATTAATGAATAATCTTTTAAAAGTTAGTTTAAAATTAATAAATTTTATTGACTGAAACTATAAATAACGTGATCCGAATTTAACTAATAATTTCTCTTATTATAAACCGTTGTAATCCAAAGCAAATATGCGTTACTTGCCGTAGTATGCTTGGTTTATGAGAAAGGGATGATGGTATCCTTTACATGTGTCGAACAATATGCACTAAAAATCTGAGAAACGTCATATCATGAAGGTGCAAGTGTTTTAACGCTAAAATTAATTTTTTTAAATTATCCTTTTAAAAAAATCAATAACTTTTACTTAAACATTTTTTTTATTTTTTTAGTCTCTCAATGAAGTAAAATTTATTTATTTTTAAATAAAATTTTCATTTTAATTTTTTACAACATATCTTTTATACATTTTTTAAAATACCATGAAAAATCAACAATGGGTCATATAAATTGGCATTATTATATTAAAAATTCCCTTTAATTTTTTTTTGAGAAATAACCCCTATGTCAATTAGTTAGAAAAGTACCCCACAAATTGTCCACGTAGAATATATCAGTATTAAAAAGGCACCCAATCATTTCCTCATCATATTTGTGGGGACAAAGGCTGTGAGCAGTATTTGAGGCGTTTTTATCCAAAATAACCACTTAAATATATATTATTTACCTGTCAGATACAATTTCTCCAAATAATACTGATCTACTACCACTGGGTAGTAAAGCGTAGTTGACCAAACGCACCTTGCACAAGTAGATGAAAGGCGCAGATCATCAAGTGCGCCTTCCGTCCGAGTTGGTACCATAGGGGTATAAAGTACGGATCCTCAGGCGCGCCTTCGATGGGTGACACGTGCTGGAAGGCGTGAATAAAATTATTTCTTAAAATTATTGCCCCTTCAATTATTTACCTAGGCAAGCAATCAGCCACCCCCTATCCTATAAATATCGAACCACACACAAATCCAGCGATATTCTTCTTCTATCAATTTCTTTTATCAAGCTAAATATAAGTTTTTATAGTT